CTCTCTCTCTCTCTCTCTCTCTCTCTCTCTCTCTCTCTCTCTCTCTCTCTCTCTCTCTCTCTCTCCCTTATTTCCTCTTCTTCTTTCTTCTAACTGCTTCTTTGCTTCTCTTTCCCCTTCTTTTGCTGAATTTCCCCTCTTTGTTCCTTTTTTTCCCACCATTTTTCACCCTCTTTGTTCCTTCATTTCCCTTTACTGTTGTTTTCGTTTCCTTTGAGTAAAGGAGAATTCCGATATTTCCGAGGAACAAACTAAGATAATTAAAAGCAAAATTCACCATGCAAGAGAAATCAAAGTGCGAAACACAATGCAGAGAGAAAATTTAGAAGTAAAATAGGAATTTTAACCTTGATATCATAGTCGGCGCCACCAGTAGCAAGAATGCCGGAGAGATGGTGAAAATCAAGGCACAAAACGGGCTTTGTGTCGTGCCAATTGATCTGAACTGTACCTCCCTTCATTCTTTTTATTCCTTCCCTGTTCTTTTTTCCACTCTTTATTCTGAATTTTTTTTCTTTTTTTGGAATTGAAGTTGCAGAAGAAGGAGGTAGGGTTTAGAAGAGCAGCTGGACGGTGAGTGATTTTGTGGGGGGAACTTTGAGATTTGGCGGGAAATTGAGGGCGCCTTAATTTCCCTTTTTTTCTTTTTCTTTTTTTTTTTAATAAGTTTTCTTTCTCTCTTATCTTTTCCTTTTCTTTTTTTCTTTCTCAAACATCACACACTTGTGTGCATAACAGCTTGTTTGGATAGTTGTTGCCGATGACAATTTGAATCTAATTATTATTTCTTTTTAAATTTGGAAACAATTTAACTTAAACTTACAATTTGAGAAGCTTTTATAACCATACAATACAAATACTCTGAGCCCCTTTTTGATTTGTTTAGGACCACAAATTTGTGCTCAATCAAACAGGTTCACATAAATTGGAACGACGGAAGGGGTAATTTTTAAAAGAAATCGTTTCGCCACTTATTTCATCTTATTATGATCTCTAATTTAGCCGTATAGAGATTTAGGACCACCAATATCTCAAAATATTAGTGTTTCCCATCTTTGGAAATATCATAAAACAAGCTTTTAGTGATATCCTCAGTGTTGCGGTAAGATCCCCTTGACTAGAGAGAGAGAGAGCAGTAACGCTTGCCATTATTGTTTTGGAGGTAAGAATATGATCAAACTGCTGAGCAAATGTCTATTTCATAACTTCAGATAAAACCCCTCCATGCATGGACATGAACCGTTTTTACATGTTCAGCAATACAGGAAGCAATCCTCAAACTCAAATCTACTACTACTACGCACGTTCTCCAAATCGTTTCGTCAAACATTATGAACAGAAAACAAAAGGATTAAATGGAGGTAAGGAAAAAAACATAAAAGGAAAAAAACCGAGAAAAGAGCATTCCCATATCATGAAGCTTAAAACCAATCAAGGGAATGAGAAACATAAGATGGAAGCAAACTAAAGAATACACAACTCTAACGCGTGCCTACAAAATATTTGGGAGCTGAGCATCCAATCTCTGCTGCAGTTCCTTCACCTTGATTGATAACTCAGCAGTTTGCTCCTTGTAGCTCTTGATTAGATAATCCTTCCCTTCAATCACTTCTTTTAACTCATCCTTTTCGCGCTTCAGCATTTCGAACCTTTCCCCATCTCCTCCTCTTCCCTTCTCTGAGGTATCCGAATTTCTATCAATTTCCAGGTGACCATTTGTGTGACCGTTCATATGACCATATCGGACTTCAGCTGGCCATACAGGTACTGTTGGGGACTTATCGCAAGAACCAACTTGTCCAACGCAATGATCTGCAATTGCTTTCCTCAGCCTCTGTATCTCTCTCTCCGAATCAAACAGATCCCTGTTTGCAGCGTCCAGCAACGACTGCAGATGGGCAGAATGCGACAGCTGACTATTGAGAGAACCCTGCAACTCTACAATCTGCTCCTGCATCTCTAATATTGTTTCGTCCCTTCTCTTTAACTGTAGTCTCAGCTTTTGTATCACTTCTCGCTTACTGTATATGTCAGAACCAGATTCTGATACGCATGGCGACTCGGAGCTGTTTGAGTGATGAAATGGTTTCTGTGGCAGTTCAAGACGATCAGGAGAGCTTGACCAAGGCCCACCATTCTCTTTATTGAATTCGATGGCAGGAACAGTCACAAGAGGGAGCACCATTTCAGGCTCAGACCCATTACACTGCTGCTGCTTTATAACCCCCAATCCTCCAGCTCCTGTCTTGTAAAAATAGCAAATGTTCATTAACTGCAGTAGTAATTTGGTAACCTTCTGTTTTTTGAAGAAAACTCAGCATAGAAGGTAAAAACTGATCCTACGTGGTAGCTAGCGCAACATGTATACCAAGAAAAGCATCATATTGATCACAATCCTCCCTCATTATGTTTCAATCCTTCACTTAACATCACCATAAAGCAAGCAAGATAACTGAAAATAGGTCCAACTTGTGAAGAACATCGTGTCTAGTTTTTCCAGTTAGAAAGCAACCACAAGATCAACATTAACATGCATAAGTTGTTTATGAATGAAAGTTTCAATGCATACCACTCTAATTAACTTTAGTAGTTCAAATTATTCTCTCACCAAAATGGGAGTTAGAGAACTGAACAAGAGCATAGGAAGAACATGATGCCAACATCAAATCACTAGCCATGTTCTTTACCCCGAAAATGACAACCTATATTCTAAGATAAAGCTCCAAAGGGATGGCAAGAATTTACATACCTGTATTGCAATTGTAGCAGCCATCATCATCTTGAGCAAAATAATAAGTACTTGACTGCAAATGACCGTTTCCTAACTTCCTTCCTTCAGGAGATTTTTCGTTTCCTGCATTTTAAGCCATTTCTCATATCTAAGAGGGCAGAATAACTTCACAAGACAAACCAAAATGCTTTAAACAATATTGGACCTTTTAAACTGCTGGCAGTCTTGTTCTGTTGTCTCGAGTCAAGCACCTGCTTCAGCTTGTAGCCTAAGCGGACAGATAATGTACTTAATAATGCACTACCTGCAATTATGACCCAGTTTGGCCCCTCATTCTGAACACCTTTGGACCTCTGGGACCTTGGCCCCACATTAGTTCTTGGTTTCATTTTTGGAGTCACTGAACTGTAAGATGGAGAAGCTGCAGACCATCAAAGTAAGCCTATATAGGAAATGCAGCATAACATCAATTTATGCCAGGAGAGGCACAGTTTTCTGATCATTCAAATCAAGAGCGTATAGGCTAATTGAAAAGTATTAACACTTCATAACCACAAGAAATTTGCAGCTAAACAAGTCTAACGCGGATATTTGATAGGGAAAATATCCAGAAAATCCAATGGTAAGGTGTCCAGATAAAGTCAAGTCTGGTATCTTTTGAACTCTGATTGTCGCCAACATGAAGAGATTTCCAGAGTCATGTTCATTTTTGATATTGCAAACACTTTAGTTATTAAAAGGCAGAAAAGCAAAGTGTATAATGGCAAAACTATGTGGAGCTCGATCAGACTTTGAGCCCAGGGTAGAATGAGGGTTTTTTTCCTTTGATAAAGAACAAAAGTTATTTGAAGGGTGATTTGATATTTACTATAAAACATGTAGGTGGAAATAAAATAAAGTTATTCCCATATCCTTGCTAGTGTGGTTCACATTTGTACTTTTATTTCCTTTTTAGCTAAAAGATACCAGAAGAATAAGTACCAGAGTGTAGAACAAGCAACAAGATTCCCAGAAGAAAAAATGCCCGAGTGTAGAACAAGCAACAAATTCCCAGTTCCCAGAAGGAAAGGTAACTGCAATCATGCAATTCCAATAGCATAAATACCTTCACGTCAAGTGCTGGAGCCACACCTTCATGAATCTGACTACAGTGGACGGTACAATTACAGTAGGACTTCACAGGAAATATTCTGAAAGAAAATGCAACAGAAAGCACAGCACTTATTATCCAGAAGAAACAGAATAATAAGGAAAGAAGTAGTTAATTAGAGTACAAATAGAACTAGCTCCTGTAAACATCCATTGACATTGCAATTACAGTAACCTATTGCATGCTTGCTCGTGTAAATAAGTTGTATGTGTGGAACACACTGCTCAATATTTAGCATTCCTCAGAATCTCAAAATGTTACATTCACTTGGTTCATTGAAAATTGGTAACAGCATGAATCTCACACTTCACAACACCACTCATATAAATGGTAACAGCTAAAATTAATAACTGCATCTGTTATTCTCTGAAAGTTTCTAGGGATAAAGCAAAGAAGGCAGAAAACAAGAGCTAAAGATAAGGTTGATGTGTTGTAGAAGAGTAGAAGCTGTAGGCCACTTCCAACCTCTTGGTGGTGGATTGGGATATCCATTACTAATTGAACATTTTGAAAAAGAAGTAACACAGGAAAGAAATCTCAATTCAAGACAATAGTTCTATAAGACGGGACAAGTAAGGTGATTGTGGAGAAAGTATCCCAATGAAAAAGGGAGACTATTCATACAGAGAAATATCTGAAGAAACGAGGAGGGATTTATGTAAAACGAGCATAGAAGGCCTAAAATTCCACGGTATCTTTCTTCCCCCTGAAACTTTGAAGACACACTTTCACTCTCCTGTTCATCCCCCGTGAACTGAGAGAAAAGAGTCCTAGTTTTTATGAAACTTTGCCCCTGATAAAGTATAATGTCAGACTTGGATCCTCTCACTTAAAATGGCTAATCCAAACTAAGACATTTTTAGTGGCAGAGAACAAAATTATTATTTTGAAGGCAGAGTAAAATTCCAACCTTGAATAACATCAGCAATGTATAAGTCGCACAGTATAAACACATTGAAAGATAATATAGGATAGAAGATCTGAATTGCAAAGGACAAAATAATTCCTGAGTTAGCCTTTCCATGTAAAAGAAGCAGTAAGCCTATCAAAACCATCAAACTGAATGTAAAGACTAGAAGACTATAGCAGATTCAGTGTGGCATCAATATAAGGAACTTGGCGACATATCAAAGTCTCCTTGATTCAGAGGAGTAAAGCAAAGATCCTAATGAGGTAAATTGGAAAAGGGTGGCACGAAAAAAGTGAAAGAAATGCCAGCTTTTCTGCACACGGCAGATGAAAAGTTTGGTGTTCATTTGCTATTGAAGTTGATGAATAAACTAACCCTATTATGCAATCATCAATTTACTTGTCCTCCATCACAAGATAGTCTGCTAACTCATAAACTTGAACATGATCCAAAACTGCCAGAAAACCAGAGAAATGCACAACAAGCAGTCTTCAACAGCTAGTGGCTAAGAATTAAAAGCATTAAGGTAGTCAATAGAAAGATAATGTAGAAGTTGCTTCTAGCCTAAGGAAGACTAAGTTAAATACTGGATGATGGCATGCATTCAAAAGTTTTAACAAGCAACACGCTAAACACCAATAATAGCATGTGCTGCCTATTATAACTAATTGAAATTGACATCTGCCCTTCACTTGAGGCAGCAAATAAGACATGCATGACCATCTCTTTTGAACTTCCTCCTTGACTCATTCCAAATATTTTTGACCTCAATGGTCATTTAGGATATCAAATGGCTCATTGAGGTATAGGTGCATTCAGAATCATAATTCAATTATCCACCAACTCTAGCTTTGACTTCCCATAATACAACAAAATGAAACCCGCAGAACTTCTATTTTCACGGAAACAGATCTATCATACAAACCCACTGATTCAATCAAATGGCCAGAAACGGCATAAACAGCTAATAGATGGAGACAGGGAGCAGCCTGATCCTGCTTAATACAATTTCCCCCTTGTTACTTTCCCTTGTTTTTTACTTACATGATCAAACACAAAAATATGCATTGAAATGTATGAACGCCAGTACAATGACACAACATCAACAACAATTGCTACGCTCTGTCCCAAACAAGTTGGGGTCAGCTATATTGTTCAATTTAAATTCATCTCATGCTAATATTATGCAAATACAAATAAAAGTATTAGAAGAAATATTTCTCGTTAAGCTAATCTTGACTGTTAAATGCACAAAAACACACAAGCACACACAAAAACCCCATTTATTTTGCACACACTTAACAGGTCATCCCAAATTTAAGATGAAACTATCCATAGAAATGCAAGACCCAAGTATCAAAAGAACAGACAAAAATTACAAACGGCCAAATGCCACCAAATACACACACAGAGAGAAACCCACTAATTCTACACATTATTCCCCAAAATGAAAAGGGTGATATGAAAAAGTACCTGATTAATGGGGAAGATACATCTATTGACCAAGAACTGAAAAATAAAAGAAGTTTCTGGTGTAGGGTTTTGTGGAATTAACAAACACTAATATTACTGAACCTTCTAATACAGGTGAGGCTGGCTTAGGTAAGCGGGGGCGTGGCCAAAAAGGACCAGCTAAAGCAAAAGCGGGATTTTGCCCCTTTGGGTTATGGGAGGGGTGGGGTGGGTTGGGGATTTTGCTTGTGGATCAAATCAAAATTCAAGAATTGGTGGAATTTTTGGGGAGAAAGTACAAAATATTTTGCATGTCGTACAAGTATCGGAATGCACGTTGTCGTATGACTATATAATTTTGATAATTTTATGTGGACTGCGAAATCTGGGGCCGTTAGAACGGAGCTAACGGATTCAGAGTTGTGTCATGCTCCTCTGTTTTCCTAAATATATGTTAAAGCAATATTTTGACATTTTATAAAGCAATAATTGAGACGGATAAGATCAATTTATCGTTAATCAGAAAATGTGTTCGAGTTTAAAAGTGGAAAAATTGTGTCTGGGAGTGTAGAAATTCAGTAGGGAACGTTTTCCTTAAACGAATCTAAATTTTTAGTATATGGGTGTACTGTTAAGAAAGCAGAAAAATATGCATTAAGTGGGAATTGATCCTTATTATTCTAGGTAAAAAATTTAACCTTCAACCAAGTATGTCATTTAATCTTTTTTGAGGATGGATCCCAACAGTTAATATTATACAAATTTTAAAAAATATATACATAAAATACCTAATTTTACAGAGAGACATGGATTCACGTGCCCAATAATTTCCCTTTAAATTCGCCCCTGCTCACACCCCATGCCTTACTTGCCACGAACAGTGAGACCTCTCTATAATAACATCCATATATAAAAGTTATTCATTATAAAAAACAAGTTTTTCTCAAAATCGATTTTTTAAGTTATATTTTACCTCTCTATAACAGTTTTTTACCTATAACAACAACAATCATTTTTATAACATACGCTCTTTATAAAATTACTCCTCTATAATAGCCATATAGAATCTTTAAGATTACTTATGGTAATTCTAAAAGTATGCACACAATCTTTTTCATTGAATAGAGTTTATATCTTGCATATGATATAAGATTTGACGATTTGCACATGATATCTTTTTCATTGGACAAAGTTCAAAAAATATTTAGATAGAAGATTACCTTTTGCTGAAAATTTAGACGCGCGCTAATTCAAACGCTATATCGCCACTAAGAGAATGAAATTTACGAAACAAGCTACAATTACAAAGTTCTTCCATCAATCTTAAAAAAAATTATTTTTCTAGGTAGCTTTAAAATATGTGCCTTAGAGCCTAAATCTATGTACGTTTAATTACAGATTTATTAATAATGTATTGACTTTCGTCAATATTTAACTAGTGAAATATGCATACTTTTTGAGATTTTAAATTTGAATAATTTCTTATCTTTTATATGTAACATTAAAAAAGGAAAAATTAATTAATTTTTGGATAATTTTTATTTATAACAGCCAAAAAATATTTAAATATCAAATATTGTTATAGGTGTATAACAATCCTTTACTATAAAAGTTAAAAAAATATTGAAATAAACGATGCTTTTATATAAAGGGTTAACTGTATAAATTAATTGATCAATAAGTTACGAACACCTGGTGGTTATACAAAAGAATGATTTTTTTGTAGTCGAAATTTTATAAATCGACAGGTGAAATACTATTAAAAATGTGTGCAAAGTACTAATAAAGAAATAATGGAGCTAAAATGCAAATTAAAAGAGTGGAGTGTATTGAGAGACCAGTTCAAGTTCATTGATAATGAAAATGTGGGGACAATTGATATAACATGTTAGCCTTTTATTAGCAAGCTAAAATAACACAGAATAATACTTCCTGTGTTTACTTTTACTTGTCTATTATGGGCTTTGTACACCTCTTACGAAATAATAAATGAAGTATAAATTTTATCATGATATCCATATTAATTGATGCATATTTTTAATGGATTTGAGATAATAGTTTGAAATGAGTATTTAATATTGTGGGTATAACAGGAAAAAAAGAAATTGTCTTCTCTTGATATGCTAAACGTGACAAGTAAAAGTGAAAATTTATTTTAGAATACTAGATAAGTAAAAGTGAACGAAGGGAGTAGTACTTTATGTTTACAGTTGTAGACAATAAATTTGCGTCGAGAAAATAAAATCAAGACCGAAAATATTGCAACAATCGTAGTATTTGATTTCAAATAATATGAGTGTACAATCTCTATGAATTCTCTGATTTTACTTTTCCAGTATAAATTCAAGGGCCTTTGAGCTTGATCTTGAATTTTAATTTGATTTATCCGTCGCGAACACTTTGATTGTTACCACGAATTTTATCACGAACAAGTAGCCTTGATCTTAAACGTCTTGTATTTGATTTGACTTCGATCTTGATCTTGAATACTTGAATTGTTCTTCGTTCTTGAGCTTGAACTTTATTTGTTCTTCATTCTTGAACTTGAACTTAATTTCTTGAACTTGGTTACTTGAAGCCTGAAACTTGTAGAGAAATTTGCGACGTTTGATCCACGAGCTCTCTCTTGATTCTTGTTATATCTTCTGGTGTTTTTTCTGGGTTATGAAGACCCCTATTTATAGTTGTGGGCGGGAAGAGTTATAATAAGAACAAACTCTTTCCGGCCAATCAAATTGAAGTGTGACATGGCCGCATTTGATTGGCCAGAACATGTCATTTGCGCACATGGCGCAATTTCATTGGCCTTTTAATGTGACTTGGCATGCCTTGTCATTTTGACATGTGGCATGATCCTATTGGCCCTTCTGTTTTGACTTGGCGTGCCACGTCATTTGACACGTGGCACCAAACTGACCTCTAGGAAGATGACATCTTGGGCTTAATGAAGTGGGCTTAATACTTTAGCCCAATTAAAGGGGTTAGCCCAATGGATTAAGACTTATTTATTCAACCTATATAAATTGGACATATAGAATTGATCCAATTATATTAGCCCATAATATTTATTTGGACCAAAATGTATTTATTTAAAGTATAGTCCAAATTATTTGATTAAATTTAAATCCAATTTTTATATGCCTACAAATGCCCCCTACTTTAAGACTTGTCCGGCATATAATTTGAAAACTAGGCTTGAAGTACCACATCAAATTCAAAAGGGCCAACCACTACCGTTTGACATATATAAATATTGCATGCTTTCACGTCTGTTGAGCATCAATTTGTTGTATTTGCAAGCCACTTGAAGTCTAATTTTTGCGGACTCGGAAGCAAGAAGGATGTGTTCTTGTTTAATGAGATGATCCATGTATGAAGAAGATAATTTTAGGGTGTGAGGGGATGAGTACTCATCCATGCCCGAATATCGGAGAGATTACTCTCATGGCCCGACTACCGGAGAGATTACTCTCAAAATGAACTGACTATCGGAGAGGCCAACTTAAGGTGCAAAGAGACTCATATGCCCACATTAAGATTGGAAAGTTATAGTTCCTTTTACGGACAAACCCATGAAGAGGCCAACTTAAGGTGCAAAGGGACTTATATGTCCACCTTAAGATTGGAAAGCTATAATTCCTTTTAAGGTCAAACCCACGAAGAGGCCAACTTAAGGTGCAAAGGGACTTATATGTCTACCGTAAGATTGGAAAGTTATAGTTTCAACTCGAAGATGACATCGACTTGACGACATCGACTTGGCGGACTTTGCAGACTTCTACTTGAAGAGCGGTTGACTTTCGAAATTCAACTTGAAAAATTAGTAGACTTGAAGACTTCAATTTGAATATTTGGAGGGCTTAAACAATTTTACTTTAAGACCGGCGAATTTGAAGACAGAAACTTGATCGACGGACTTGAAGACTTCAACTCAGAGACTTGGAGGGCTTAAATATTTCAACTTGAAGAGTGGTGAACGTGAAGACTTCAACTTGGAGATTTGGAATGTTTAAATATTTCAACTTCTCTTTTGTTTTACATTGTCAGACTTTTATCTTAGCCGCATAATTTTCAGCTTTACGCACTTGTAACAAAAGATTCATATCTTGTCGTGGGAGATTCCAAATAACGAACCGTTTAATTTTTCGAAAATTAGACTTTAATATATAAAATATATCCAAAAGTTAAAATCAAACACCTTCATAATTGCCCCATATACTACTTTGAAATCAGCTTTAGATTCCATCATGTTGAAAATTTCGAATTTGTGCAGTCTCACTAAAAAATTAATATCTTGGGGTATAAATGTCAAAATTATGAACCGTTTGATTTCATGAAAACTGGACTTCAAAATCTAAGACATATCCAAAATTAGGAATCAAACACTTTGAGAATCGTCCCAGATATTATTTTGAATCTAACTTTAAATTCCGACATATTGATAGTTTTAGATTTGTGCAGTTTCACCAAAAAAGATTGCATCTTGCCGTAGGGACGTCGAAATCACAAACCACTTGATTTTGTGAAAACTAGACTTCAAGATCAAGACATATCCAAAATTCGGAATCAAATACTTTGAGAATCGTCCCAGATATTATTTTGAATCTAACTTTAAATTCCGACACGTTAATAGCTTCAAATTTGTGTAGTTTCACCAAAAATATTGTATCTTGAAGTAGGGACCTTGAAATCACAAACCGCTTGATTTTATGTAAACTAGACTTTAAAATCTAAGACATATCCAAAATTTAAAATTTAATGCCTTAAGGATAGTTTCAGATGATAGTTCGAAATCGACTTTTGTTTTTGATATGTCGACAATCCCAAATTAGCGCGACTTCACCAAAAGTTTGTATCTTTATGTGGAGGCCTCGAGATCACAAGACCTTTTTAATTGCCAACAATTGAATTTCAAGAGTTTCATTTCACCAAATATCTTGGGTTCAAGTCTCACTGAATTTGAAACGTTGTGAAGGCTCACCAAAAAAACTTGAAGGTTTGGCGAACATGAAGGCATAGCAAATCCGCGAACTTCAATGCAAATGCTTGGCGGCCTCCTAAAAGAGATTAATCATTTTATTGAAGGCACCAATTTGCCATAGCAGCTTGCCCCCTTTAAATCTAAAGGGATTTAAATTTTAACAGAAGAATGGTATCTCAGCTCGATTTTCAAGTGCCGATTGAATGGATTACATTCCATCGTACTTTATTCGAACGACGATTGGGGGATTATGTATCTTTTGAACTTATGCGACTGAACTAAGAATGAAACTCTAAGCTGCCTACGTATCTCAGTGAAGAGGATCACGTCATACCATAGTTCAGAATGGGTGATTTTCTTTCTTTCTTTCTTTTTATGTCCTAACTTTTGCCTAGGCTGCCTCTTTCGAGGTTTTCAACCTAGCGGACTTTT